GCATCAGGCCCATTAAGCAGTCCTGAATACTTACTTAGCTGATAGATTAGAGAGCAAGTGAAGACTGTTGTAATATCAAGTGTTGTACTCTGTTACCCCAGAGTCTCCTTATGATCCATGTAGCTCTAAACCCATCTATCTATCTGTGCGGCTACACCCAAGAAGAGTCCTGGTGAACCCTAGAGACTGTAATAGTTCTCTGTAGAAAGCTTTGTCTGTGAGACTGTGACCTCCTCTTTCATTTAATTTGACATGTATTCATTATTCTGAGTACTCTTAAAGACGCTTAAATATAAATGTGAACAGAATGTGGTTTTTCCCACAAAGGTCACAGATTTGTGTGAAATAGTTGTTCCAGTTTACTATATTTACACACACCACATCTGCAGATTCAGCTAGCTGTAAAGACACTTAGAAAAAAATTATTCCAGTAATCTATTAACTAGTGATTTCCTGTAATTCTGTATAACTTGTACCCTTTTTATGTTTTTTTTTCTCCTTAAATAAAAAAAATTAAATGAGAAAAAAAAAAGAAAAAAAATTATTCCTGCACCAAACACATACAGAATTTTTCTTGGCATAACTCCCTAAACAATACAGTGCAACAAATATTTATATTGCATCTACATTGAATTACACACTATCAGAAATCTAGAGAAGAGCTAAAGTATATGTGCACAGATTATATAAAAATGCTATCTCGTTCTCTATAAGGAAATTGAGCATCCAGGGATTTTGGTGTCCACTGGAAATCTTGAACCAATCTCTAGAGGATATTGACTACATATTTACAAATAACTTCAGTAGATTTATGTGCCACAAAGGAAATGGATTCAAAGTGATGTGGAAACAGGGATGGGGCAATCATTTCTTCTTGGAATGGGGTGGATTGGGGAGCACAGAGCTGTAGAGGCAAATGCCATTTGAGCTGAACCTTGGTGGGTTGAACATTTTCCAAATACAGACATTCCTCATTTAACAACCAAGATCTATTCATGCAATTAGGTCATTAAATGGATTGGTCGCTAAAGGAGAAATGGTATATAGTAAGTGTACATTACAACATTGAGAACAAAGAAATGGTCAAAGGAAACTCCAACTGATGGCTTTGCTTCTATTTGTATAACTTTTATAGGCAGTACTTTAATGCATAACAACCTAAAACTATAGGACTATACTATACAGTTCAATAGGCAAAATTGACAGTACTGCGTAAACAAAGAATACTGTACAAGAAAAGACATTGAGGCTTTATAAACAAGATGTACCAAGCTACAAAAAAAGAAGATGGGTGATCAGTCAAAGTGGCAGATTGTAATTCTGAACAGTGTGCGTTGCTTTTACCTCTGAGGAGTCATTAAGCAGGTAGGTTGTTAATGAGAAGTGCCTGTGTATAAATATTGTATTAAATGTCTTCACAGCATGGCGCTTTATTTTTTCATCACTGTTCCTTTCATTTCTATGTCAGAGAGAGTTTATTAGCCCATTCTGATCTGGTTTTGATGACATGGATGGCCTATACTCTCAAATACAGCAAGTTGGGAGAAATATGGCCAAGGAGAGGAGGAGCATGTGTATGAAAACACTCTGAGGACTGTGGGTAAGGTGCAGAGACCAGACAACAAACCTAAGATCATATGATTGAAGCATCATTCCTAAACTGAAGAAGATGGTAGTGTTAAGACTATTTATACAGTAAATAAATAAATACTGCATTAAAAAATGTTCACAGCCCTGCCTAAAAAATCCCAACCCACCTCGAGTTACATTATGTAAGCTGGAAGGAATCCTGGCAGAGTCCTTTTGTAGATTCGACGCTTTGTTCAGAAGTGTGAGATATTAATTAAAGAAAAGTAGGATTACAGCCTCCAGCCTGATTTGAGCTGGCCTCATCTTGCCAGCCATCTGTGATGATGAAAAACAAATTTCTTCCTTGATCTCCTTCCTCTTGAGCTGGAGATCTATGCTTCCTCCACTTACATCATTGCAAGGGCTGCTTGACTCCTAGGTAGGGACCCTATGATTTAGTCATTGTTCAGGCTCTTAAAAACCTTTTTTTCTACAATGTTAAATTGTGTGTGATTTTGTGTGGCAAGACAATGGGACTGTAAGATGGCATAAGAGAAATCAAGTTTAGGTTAGCAAATAAGGCAAAAATTCTTGATGAAGGAGTTACTTTTCTTTGAAATAAAGGGAAATCCTGCTAGATATAAATATGCAAATATAGCGATCATATTTTCTCAGCAGTTCACTGAGGCAGAAGTTAGAGTATCAGTTCACTGAGTAGGAGTTAGAGTATTGATTTTGTCAGTATCAATAGCTATTTAGATAGGGATAAGTTGAGAAATAATTACAGTGGTACCTCAACTCATGAACTTAATTCTGGTCACAAATAGAATTGGATGAGAACCAAATCAAATTCAGTGGTTAGGTTTAATGTTGACCTTATGGGAAATTTGATTCCATTCTCATCCAGTTTGATGCATGACCAGAATCATGGAAAGAATTGAGTTTTTGGACCAAGGTAACACTTTACTTGTCACAGGTACTCTTTTGACATCTTTCCTCTTTCTCTGTGGTGTATCTCTGTGCATTCTGTTTTCTAGCACTGAGTGCCCTCTTCCCTTTTCTTGCCATCCTTCTACCCTAAGGTAAGTCTCATATAGTTAGTTATACATTAGTAGAAATGAACCTTCAAATGGGACATCTGGTTGTTGGAGTAATTTTAACAGCTTATGGTTTGCTGTGTGTACACACTTGTAATCCAAGTACTAAGGAGGTTGAGGTAAGAGGATTAAAAGTTATAAGCCAGGCTGAGCAACTCAACAAAAACCTGCCTCAAGATAAAAAGGTCTGGGAATATAGCACAGTGGCCCAGCACTTGCATAATATGCACTAGACTCTAGGTTCCATGATCTCTTCCTCTTGAAAAAGGTATGATTACAAGAATTACGACCCATAAAGAAATTAAGGATTCTTGTTAAGCAAGTAGCCAAAATTTTCTTATATAATGATAGTTTTACCGGGTTCACATGAAACGATGTTTTAGAAAAAACTAGTTAAGCAGACCATGGCAGGACTACCATTGCCTTTCTCCTTTATCAACTGAAAATAAAGTTTATCTCCAAAGTTGGAAGAGACCTTACTGTACTTTGGAGCTACATTTTCCAATATATTTTGGAGCTACAAAAGATGGAGATTTTTTATTTTTTTGAATTTTTATGGAAATATATGCTATAATGTTCACCTTTTTAAAACAGACAATTCACTGTTCTTTAGCATATCTTCAGAGTGATACAACTATTGCCAGCATTTAATTTTAGAACATTTTAATCTTCCCCTAGATAAACCCATGAATAATCATTCCCTGTTCTCATCTCCAACTCATGCCCTAGTAATCACTTATTTACTTTTAGTTTCTATGAATGTCTATTATAGACATTTCATATAAATAGAATCATATAATATGTGGTCTGCTTGATTTAACTTCTTTCACTTAACCCAGTATTTTCAAGGTTTGTCCATATCATAGCATGGATCAGTACTTTGTTCCTTTTCATGGTTAATATTTCACTGTATGACTTTATCACATTTTATTTTTATCCATTTACCAGTTGATACATACTTTTCTTTCCAGCTCTTATGAAACAATAATGTGTCACACATTCCTTTACAAGTTTCATATTTGCATTCTGTATGGGAAGTGCTTACTCCTGAATAATTTCTAAACCTATGTCCTTAATTAGGCTATCAGCTTCTGGAGAGAATATATTTTATACTCTGTTAATATTACCAGTACTTTACACAGTGACCTAAATCTAAGTGCTCTGAAAGTGCCAATAGTGACAACTGATTAAGGTATTCTTTGGATTCTTGAAAAGTAATGGTCCTCCAGCTATAAGTTGAGTCACTGTGCCCTGGACATCTGGCCTATTCTGAAATATCAGCAAATTCTATTCATCCTTGGAGCTATGAAATCCTTCCAACAATATATCCCTCCCAATAAGCTTTTTCCAATGCAGCTTGATAGGATTAGTGTCTAACTCTTTCACGGTTGTAACACTTAAATTGGTATCTTAAAGAGTTTGGGACAATCAGACTTATCTTGTGGTTTTCTTTGTATATGTTTGTATTACCTTTGCTTGAAGGTTTGCAAAGTAATAGGAGCCTCAGTAGAACTATCTGGTTTTTGGAATGTAAGTGTGGGTGTTTGTGATTCTACTGGCACGTGACTTGAAGATAATATATGTTACTGAAATCACAAATGTATGGAAAAACTCTCATTCCCCACATACCTTGTTATCACATGGGACGTACACTCCATGCTTGTTTCTGTCTACGTCACTCTCCTTTGTTGGAGTCTCCTCTTCGGTAGTTGAGTTTTACTTTCTTTCTCAGGTTGCTTCCCAGTATGTAGGCATAGCCTTGTGTTCTCCAAATCAGGTTTGTCTTGTTTGAATTCCAGCTCTGTCCTGTACTTGTCACAGCTGTCACACTATTAAACTTCTCTGTCTGGTTTCCCATCTAACAGTAGAGTACAGAAATAGTCTTTGTCTGAGGTAGGAGATTAGGGCATGGCACAGCTGGCTGGGAAGTAGACATGACCTGTTAATCACAAGATCCCAGGATACATGCACAGAACAGTTCCCAAAGCCCTGCGTCTGGACTTTTCTTGTGAATTTGGGCAAGTTTTCAAAAGAGGGGTTTGGGCCTGGCGTCCATGTGAGGCCTGGGATCCCAGCACCACCTCTTAGAACCTATATGTGGAAGTTGCCATGGGTTTCCTGGAGATTTGGACACATGAGCGTGCAGACCCCACGAGGAGGTCCCTGTTGTGAACTTCCTCGTGGTAATCTGCCTGCCTTCTCTAGGGTGTTTCCTTAGTACTTTTTCTCCTTTTACTTGGCTCAAGCTTGCTCTGCAGAGCCAGTTTCTCCCTCCCTCTTCTCTTTCACTTTCTCAACTAAACTTTGCCACTGTTTTTTGCTCATTTCATTCAGTTCTTTATCTGAGACATGAAGAATATGAAATCTAACTCCAGAAGGAAAGACAAGCAATCCAGGACCCGGTAATGTTTAATTGGTGAGCCACATTTCGAAGGAGCTACTGGAAAACATTTTTCATAGCCTGGAGATTTGGGTGACAGCCTTGCAGTGTGCAGGATTCAGTGGAGTGTTTACCCAGCACAGGACACAGGACAGAGAAGACACGTGTGCCTGAGATACAGAAGACATCTATCAACTGTGAGTCACGACTAGCTAGCATTTTATTCCATCGTGTTCTCTTTCTTTCCTGAAAGGAGTGAACTCCTTTGTCACCCCAGAGTTTGGTAATTAATTATTCCTTAATTTTTATTGAATGGTAATTTTTCTCAACTCACAGTTATGTCTCTACTGGTCTTACCTAGTTAGGAGACACTTCAGAACCAAGAGACAATCCAGTGACAATACCTTCACCATCACCACCACCCCACACACTACTGCCACAGAGCCCTGGATAAGTGTCCCAGGGCCTCTATAGTAAAAATGGGGGTCCTTTGCTGGTAAACCTTTTATACTCACTCTCATGGCTCATTGACTCTCAGTGTGTGCAGTTAAAACAAGCTACAATGTTTGCCTCCACAGCCCGTGGCATAAGCAAAAGCAGTCCAGAATTCTCTGGCATAGAGAAAAATAGTTCTCCACAGCTCACTACTCCTTAGGAAGCAGAAGTTGAGCATCCGTAAGTCGAAAATACAGTATCTTAAATGCTCCATAATATGAAAGTTTTCGTGTTGAAATGAAGCCACAAATCGGACATTCTACACCATGAAATTTTGTTTCATTTCATGCATGGAATTATTACAAATGTAAAATTAAGGCTATAAGGTATATATGCAACACAATTGAATTTCATGTTTAGAAGTTAGGTCCTATTCCTCAGATATCTCATGATGCGTGTTCAAATATTCTGAAATGCTACTCTTAATCTGAAATCTGAAACATTTCTGGCTCCATGTATTTCAGACAGGCGATATTCAATCTATGTTGGTGAGTGCAGTGAATGTGGTGAGGTGTGGTAAATATTTCAACAGTGAATGCTTAATTTAAAAAATTATTACAGGGGCCAGGGATTTAGCTCAGCAGCATAAGTACCTGCCTGGCAAGTACCCTTGAACCCCAGAACAACAAAAAAAATTATTACAGTAAAAGACATATTGCCTTTACCTTCAAAATATTTCCCCTCCCTTCAAACACAATTATTCTATTGCTCTTGCCACTTTCTGAAGCAGGTCTGGAAGTCCTCTGTCATGAGTGTTTTTATGAGGTATGATCAGAAATATAGTAAATGGAGCTGCCAAGTGCTATCCGATAGAAAGGCAGACTCATAAAAACATGACAGTGTGTCCTCATCTGTCTTGTTTACCAGGTCTGGCACTGTTCAACTCTAGCTCTTCCAAAAAGTCAAAATGACCATCAAAGGTAAACATTCTGAATCAATTTAAGACTTCAAGACAGCCATGACAGGGCAACACAAGCCACCAGTACCATGTGAGATTTGCATAAAAATGTGGCTCCCCAAATCATCTGGCCAGAGTTGATTTGAAGAAAGAGCCTCAGATCCTGTCAAACTGATGATCACTGAACACATATTTTATTAACTCAGACATTTAAAGAGCTTTCTCAATAAAACACATTTCTTGCATATCCACAAGTCCAAGTTGACAGAGAACTTTGATTTAGTACAGCTAAATCTGAAAGCCTTCTCCCTTTGGGCCTGTTTATGATACTTTAAATTCTTATCATCCCAAGGGAAAGTCACTTGGCGCATGGTCTGAAGAAAAGCAGGTGGGGCAGATCATTGTGGTTCTCCAGCTTCTCAGTTTATTAAAGAGTAACAGTCTCTCTATCGTCTTTTCACCAGCCTCTGATACACATGCATATGCATGTATGTACACTCATGGAAACGTGGTGATTCACTCTTTGCCTCTATAGTGCCCCCTGGCGTGCATGCTGGCACGTGGACAGTGTCTAATAAGGATGAATGTACTTGGCCCTCACTGTGTATTCATTCCCTGTCTTATATCTTACCAGCTGGTTTTTTAAACTTCACTCTGAATAGTTTGCATCCTCAGCAGAGAGAACACAGCAGACACCTACAGACTCTCTCTGAGGCCTGTCCAGGAGACCCAGGAACCTGCTAGGAAGCAGGAATAGGACAGACAGCAGGAACCTCCTGCTGAAAAGCCTTGCAAAGACAGAAAAGTGTTGGCCTGAAAGCCACAGGCTGGTATGGAGCTAGGGAAGCCCAAGCATCTCTCCATGTTCCTGAGCTCTGGCATCTCCTCCAACAAGACTGCAGAGGACACTGCATTCAGGCCAAGAAAATGATAGCCAAAAGAGACCGCAGTTCAGTCTCATTCCCTTATTTCTTCCAGGAATAGGCCAGAGGAGGGCCATTCCTCTTGGGACATTTGCGCTAATTTTTCTGCAGTGTCTAGTCCATGGTCATCTACTTGGAATCAGGTTTGGATGAACATCTAGGGCAGCTTTGGCCAGGAAGAATTACCAATAGTGTTCATACTGAGGCTGGCTATGCATATGATTGTGGGTAGCAGAGCGGGGTGAGGGTTTATCTCACCCTCTTTAATCTGTTGAAATTGTATGCTACAGGGCTTTTTTTCAATCCTGGGTTGGGGAAGTCTCTTGCCTCTGAGCAGTACATCTTATAGTACTCTTAGCTGTGTAACTGAAGAGGACCCTAAAAGCTGGGCTCTGGGACAACTGCTTTGGTTTCCAGTGTTTTGGACTAGGTATGCCAGGAGCTCTGTTTGAGGCACTACTACTGCTAGGAGAGAGAAAGAACCTAGATTCAGGCCTATTGATAAGTCTCAACTCTGGGAAGGGGAAACAGTGAGGAACTGGACCCTGAGAAACAACAGCAGGAGTGATAAACCTGTAGGTTCCTCAATTGCCCAATAGCATGTGGCCATACCCAATCAGAAGGCCACCTTTCTTCAGGCACCAGACCTGCCACTCCCCAGGTAGCAGATAGCAACAATGAACACCAGACTGCTTCCTTCAGGACTGGGGGTCTGTGTAGGGAGTGGTGGTCACTAGCTTCCCTCAGAACTGTTGAAAACTAGGTCATCACCTGTTATGGATTAAAAACTAGTGGTCAACTTAACACCAGCTGTTATTACATCAGCATGGTCCCATCTGAGGAAAGTTGCCAGCATAGATATGTGGAGAAGGAGAAGCTAGGCACTGAGGCATTGAGACATTGTGGGTTCTCCTATGTGTTGCTGTTTGAGACATTGGTTCTCCTGGAGGAGCTCTGGTCCTCACATCGAGCATTGCTTCCTGGCTCCAGAGAGGAAGATGTGTGCTGCTTGGTCTCCAGAATGAACTCGTCACTCTGGCTTCCTGGCATGTACTCAGCTGTGCTTGTCGTCACATGAGCTCAGGGCTTCCGTGTCACTGAGGATGGACTGTGGTGCTTTTGAGGACAGCCCTGGTCTTTGTTGTGAGTGTGACATCTCAGCTCCAGTGTAGAATTCTCAACCTACCAGCACAGCTCTTTCACCCTGCTGGCATAGACTTCCTGGCTTCCACCACTGACTTTTGGGCCTTCCCAACACAGATCCATAAGAGACTGGCGTGAGTCCTTCTTGTGGGCTCTGGACCTTCAGGTAAACTTGTGGGAGGCATTGTCATGAGCTCTCGGTTTTCATCTGGACTCATGTGGGACATTGCTGTGGGATTTAGGCCCTTGCCTGAATAGTCTATGTCTTTGGTATTGTGTAGAGATTTCCTGCATTTCTTTGTGTTAACTCTGGGTGACAATCATAGAAATAATATTATAAACTCCATGTCCTGATTTTAATTGTTCTCAGCACAAACCCTGACTACAACATCACCCCTCAAGAATGCCCTTGTGTGTTCTTCATGCTTTGTGTCCTCTCAGGATAATATCCTTACATTCTGTCCTACCATGATGCTCCACCAACATGTGTGTTCCTTGGTCAACCAGCATTCAGATTCCCTGGGAGTGTTATTAGAATTCAGACCCTGTGCCCCCGTATCGTGATTTTAGAATCATCCCTCAGAGATCCCTTTGAGGACAAACCTCTCATGTGGGAGAAGCCCCTAGAGCAGGATCTTAATAAAAGCCTCCTGTATGATTTTCCTGGGGTTGGAGAAGGTAAAAAAACAGGCTGGCTGCCCTCCCCAAGCTATGTTGGGAATGGCCAGGAGTTCTGTGGGGTTTCTGGGTTTTTTGTTTGTTTGTTTTTTGGTACTGGGGATTGAACTCAAGACCTCACACTTACCAGGCAAGCACTTGAGCCATGTGGCTAAATCCTGATCCTGAGTTCTGTGTTCTTGTCCCACCACTTTCGTGAGCCAGATGGGTGCTGAAGCCCTTAGTCCTCGGGCTCCTTGCTGTAATGGGAATGAAGGGACCTGGAAGCTAAGGTTTGTTTCTTTATTTCATTTTAGCTTTTGTTGGCATTGCAGGAAAGCTTTCTGAGTAAACTAAAGAAAAGATCTTTGGGCTTCAGAGCCCTATGTTTATCCACACTGTTGGTTGCCAGGTGGTTTTTGCCTTCATGATTTTTTATTACCTTTACTGAGGTGGCTTGGTTTCTCACTGGTGAGGGTTCAGTAAGTACACATATGTATATTTATTTCTTTTCCACATTTGCATACATGTTTTTCATTTCAAAAGCAACATATGCTCACGTTAAAAAAAAAATTCAAATTCAAACATTACCAAAATGCTTCTCTCCCAGGACAAATCCTGATCGTACATCTCTAAGTAATTCTTACTGACAACTGAATGTGGGTTATTCTTAACTTAAAAAAGGCCAAAAAGCATGACAGAGGCAGCAGCATAACACTTGATGCAGTGTTTAGGAGACGGGAAATGTACCAAACTGGAACCTTACAACCTCCCTAGGGAGGTAGGTGGCTCACTCCTAACTAGTGCTGAGAGATTTTATATGCATATCTACACAAACTTCCAAAATTTATTTTTATAAAGATGAATCCTTATTACACCTACTACACTGCAGTTTGCATCTTTCATTCTTAGCATGTGATGTACATTACTCATAACTGCATATGCCAAACTTTTTAACATCTTCCCTGTTCAATTCTGGCAAATAATAATTAAATAATCCCCAAATGACTTCCTCATTATGCAAACAATGCTAAGGTGTGCTGGTAAACATCTTGGTTTTTACAGATATCATTATGTGCTGTGGATTTCTCTAGGGCACATTTTAGAAGTAGAAATAGTAGGCCACACATGGCATGTAAATGAGACTGGTTTATCCTTTCTGGACAACAGAAGATGAAGTGTGTTTAAATGTCTCTCATGAGTGCTGAAGATCTTTCCTAATCTACGTTGAAGGTTGGGACAGTTGCTCTCCAGAGCTGATTTTAGATTCTTGACTCTGCTACCAAACAGTTATGAAACTTGAAACTATGAACAGGGCACATCATTCACCATTTGAGGCCTTGATTTCTTCCATGTGAAATAACAACAAAGTAAGACACCCTCTCCAAGACCCCTTTTGCTCTAACTCTCCCAAATTTGATTAGTGCTTCAGTGATCTGCCTTTGGTTTCCAATCTATGACAAACTATTTGATTCCTTTGGCCTTCCAGGGTCAATTTATTCATGCATCAATAAACTAAGAATATTCAAACTTAGAAGAGCTAAGTAGTTCTCTTCTGATTTTTGAAACAAGGAAATCAACCCAGGATTTAAATCCTACAACTACTTCAGCTTCTAAAATAGTTATTAGGTCTTTAAGAAGAGAGATGTATTAAACCCAAGAGGTCAGCCTGCCCTTGCTTTCTAGATTCAGTGGTCCAATAGTCATAGGAGGTATTTGGGCAGGCCTGGAGGTCTTACACCTCTCTGGGGGAAGTTGCCTTTGTGGGATAAGGGTTTCCAACTATTTTGTTCCTTAACAAAGAAATGATTATGTGGGCCATGACCTCACAGAATACAGTGTGTGTTAATGAGATGAAGGACTAATCCAGTCTGTATCTGTACTGTTTGGGACAAGGCCTTCTATCTTCACTGTGACCCCTGGTCACTATCCCATTTGACCTTACCAGCATCCCTGATGCAATAGCCAGAGACAGGAGAGTTAGCCCCATCATTAAGATGCAGATACCAGGGCTGGGGATTTAGCTCAGCAGCATAAGCACCTGCCTTGCAAGCAGGTGTTGTGAGTTTGATCCCCAGTACCGATTAAAAAAAAAAAAAAGATGCACATACCATAATTAAGAGAGGTATGTGAGCTTGTCTGTGAAGAGCAGAGGCCAGGGCACATCAAGGCTCCACCCTCTTTCTGCTACAGTGCCCACAGCAGGCTACTCTCCAGCTCCCTTACTCTGGCCCTTCTTCATTGCTGGACTCCTCCTTAGTGTCTTAGTCAGTGGAGACTTGTCCTTTCGAGCAGGGGCATCTCCTTGATTTGTTAAGGAGCAAGTACAGGACATAGCATGGAATTTCTTTGAATTTTGGATCCGGCCTATGGTGAGCTTTACTTTCTAAAACACAAGAAAGAAAGAAAAAAAAATGAGTGAAGATTATTTTTAGGATTCCTGGTTCTCCATCTGTCCACACCACTGCAGTGGATTCTGAAGAAAATCCTAAGATGCACTGCAATGGGCCAGAGGAAACTAGCAATGACCTAGTGACTTTTATATTCTGGTGGAAGATGGATTTTTATTTTCTGGCATCCATTTAATGGCCTAAGCCTCTAGAGTAGATTCCAGAGAGCATCAGTAATATCCAGAGGGGCCCAGGAGCACCAAGAATTTAAAAGGTTCCTAGAAACCAGTGAATCAAAATAAGACCATTAGAAGAAAACAGACCCAGACAAAACTGGGAAGAAATCAAAGTTCAGTGAGTTTCTCCCACAGTCAAGTGAATTCTCCCACTCCATACCACACACATTGCCTATTTTGCCTTTAAAAACAATCTTGCATTCTCTCCCTTGCTGTCCTTATCCAATCCCCACTCCAACCTCCCATCTCTCTGAGCTATGTCCTAACAGGAAGAAAAGTACACCAGATTGGCCTACGTGCTTTAAAATATTAGGAACCATTCTTCTTCCTCCTTTGGGGCCACATTTCCCTTTTCCAACAATCTTTTTGCTTACAGGCACCAGGCATTTGGATTTAAAAAGGAAATATACACCTTTACATAAAATAAATAAGTCAGGAACAGAGGGAAAGGAGAATCTTCTGATCTTCCTTATAATCATGTTGGTGGACACTCAAGAGTTCTCAATAGAATCTAGAAGCCATTATTAAACAGAAAGAGGAAGAAAGAATGAGCACATGAGAAATTCTGATGTCCTCTGCCTGTGCAAGTGACTCCCCATTATAGAAAAGGCAAACATGAGAAAGGAGAGGCTGTGATACTTGGTAGAATTGTGAGATCTGTTCTCAGCCCAAAACACTTTTCTTGGTCTTTTAACCAGTGCCTGGATCTTTGAGTCAGAATATTGTTTGTTTAATTTCCAGAGGGTATGGAGGTTCTCTTGACCACATGGCCCCAGTTGAGGTTTGGATCTGGAATGTCCCTCAAGACGCTCTTGCACTTAGAGGTGGAGTGTGGTTGGATCATGGAGCACTGTATTCACCAATGAATTCAAATTACTGGTAAATTCAGTGACTGAATGTGCTATTAAGAGGTGGGGTCAGTTAAAGGAGGTGGGTTGCTGGGGGCATGATCTTGCAGGTTCTTTCCTTCATTCTTTGCTTCTTGTTTGATATGACATGAGGACTTACTTCTGGCATGCCCATCTGCCATTCTGTTTCTGCCTTAGTGCCAGTCAACCAGAGACTGAATACATAAGCCAAAATAAACCACTCCCCTTTAATCTGTGGGTGGTAAGTATTATGTCCCAGTGATGAGGAAACTGACCAAGACAGATTCTGGTACCAGAAGTGGGGTCATTTGTGTGACTACCTGACAGTGTGGTTTAGAAACCTTTATACTGGTTCATGGAAAGAGTTTGGAAAAGTTTGGAAAAATAGATTAAGGAAGCTGCAGAATGATGATAGAAATGCAGATGATAAACATCAGGCTTGAGTTCAGTTGGGAACAAATACTCCTTCGGCAGTTCAACTCTAGGCTATGTGTATTATGATCTAGCAGAAAACTTGTCTATGTTTTGTTCATGTCCTGAGACTTTGTGGGCTGAGATTAAGGCAGAAGACTAATTAACATAGTAGAAGAAATTTCAAAGCAGGCCAACATTCAAACTGTGGCCTGGATACTGTTGGAGAATTTTAGCCAGTTTTATACTGAAAATCAGGAGCAAAAAGTCCACTTGCAAAATTTTTAAACTTAGGAGAGCTAAGTAGTTCTCCTAGAAAGGAAGTTTCTCCAGAAAGAAAGGTCTGAAGATGAGAACTTGCTTGCTAAAATGATTAACATTTAATAGAAGCCAAGTACTTTGAGGAAAAATGATAAGAAACATATCTTAAGGATATCTCAAAACTCAACAAGCCCAAGCCCTTTGAAGGCTCAAGTGTGCAGAAGTGAAACACTTTCTTTTGAGAAGAGACCCTTAATGCACTCTGCTACAGAAGGGATACCTAGAGAATTGGTTGGACTCAGTTCACAGCACTCAGCAATTCAGGCACTTGGAGGCCTCTGCAGGTCACAGTCCAGGAAGGTCTGGATACTGCTTGAGTTGGCAGCAAACCTTGGTATCATATCATCCAAGTGATCTGGTTTTATGGGCTTGCAGAATGCAAGAGTTGTGGGGTCAAAGAGGCTTCCACCTAGATTTTAGAAGAAAGCCTAGGAGGTCTTTTACTGTGCCTCTGAAGTGAGCAAACCTGAGAGAGTGAAGCAGTGGAGGCTCCAGGAGGAGAAGCCAATGGCAGTGAACAAAGCTGCCCTAAAAGATAGGCCACAAGGACTACAACCATTAATGGAGCCTTCAAAGCCCTGGAGTTCACATCTTGCCAAAACTTCCCTCAGCTACTGGACAGAATTACTGGATTTCTTTGCCCTACTGGGCTTTAGTCTTCCTTTGGCCTCATTCTTTTCTCTGTGTTTCTCCATTTTGGAATGAGAATGTTCACTCTGTGCCATTGTATGTTGGCAATTTTTAACTTTCTTTTAAAATCTTTTGCAGGGTTTTACAGCTAAGAGTCTTCTTTGAGTCTCAGAAAAAGACTTTGGACTTGTATTTTATCAATGCTGGAATGGTTAACATTTTGGTGACTCTGATAAGAAAGCATTTTGTAGAGTGAGCTGCATGGAAGTCTTTTGGGAGCCAGGGACAGAATGTTGTGATTTGGATCTGAAATGTCTCCCAAAAATGTCATGTGCTCAGAGGCAGGACTTTTGAAGAGTGATTGGATCCTGGGGTGCAGTGCTTATTGGCAGATTCATCAACTACTGATTTCAGCGGCTGGATGTGCTGTTATGAGATGGCATCATCTAGAAGAGGTGGGTACGTGACCTGGAAGATTGCTCTCCCTTCCTGGCTCTTTCCTTTGTCCTCTGCTTCCTGAGCTATTTCTTCCCTGGGCCCCTTTGACATGGTATTTCTGCCTTGTAGCCAACCAACTATGGAATGAAAATGTGAGCCAAAATAAACCTCTCCTCCTCTCAATTGTGAGTGCTGGGTATTGTCTTCCAGAGACAATGAAACTGAATAACAAAGCCCATTGTGGATTTCTGGCAGAGTCAATGAACCACAGTTGCCAAAGCATTGGACTGGCTCCTTGAAAACTCTTTTCCACTACACAAACATGTATCCAGTCTTCAACTCCCAATTCAAATATCAACTCCTCTGAGACAGTCTCCCTCAAGTACATTTATTCTACCCTTCTTCTTATGTCTCAGACTCACTGTATTACAAGAAACATATAACATTTTATTTCTATCCACCAATCTGTGAGCTCCTAAGACTCAAATTGGGGTCATTTTTATCCTTAGAACATAGCACAATATCACAGTGGATGTTTAATAAGTAGTGGATAGATAAATACATGAATGAATGTGTCCTTGCCCTGCCATTAACTACTGATATGTCTCAGAAAACGTGTTCAACCTTATTGGGTTTATTGATTTAGATGGTGGTATACTACAATTTGTCTAACCCATAAGGTGTGTGTGATGTAGAAGAGATAAGACATTCCTTAATATACATGTGGTACATTATAAATTCTCAGAGGTAGAAGAAAAATGATCTGGTATTGTTTCCAGAAATTTCAAGTCAGGGAACTATGGTTTTAAGTAAAGCTAACAGAACAATATGTTAGTTAGACTCACCTGGTTTATAAAAGAGAAACAATAAATGTGGACTTTTCTTACTGGAACCCTGGCATACTATTCCATTCCTCTCCTCGTACCCATCCCACAGGGCCAATAAGGACAGTTTGAAAACTCCTTCCTTTAGAGTAAACTCAAACCCAGAGAAGAAGATGACTTTCCCGAGGTCATAAGGCTAGCTAGAAATAAAAGTGAGCCAGGAAGGGATGAGTTATATGAAGAATATATTTTAATAGATAAGACCATTTAAAAATAAGCTAGCCCAGGGAAGAGAATATAAAAAGAATGTGTTGTGTACATGCATGAACTCCCCATGATGAATGTAATCACTGTGTACTCTAAGCTTTTAATAAAAATTTAAAAACTAGGGCAATCCTTTGACAATACATATGGAAAATACCCACATGTTGTGTTTAATTCTTATAATAAGCTCATGAGGAGCATAAGATGATGTTGACTTCTGAGACGAAGAAACTAAAGTTTAAGACAGGTGAGCCTGTGCAGCATCCCATGGCCAATTGCAGTAGAGGTAAAAACAATTGTGCCTAGATTGTGTTCCTTATTTGTGCCCGTCACAGTTGTAAACACATTAGAACATATTTAATTCTCCAACAACTGGCATTATCATTACCCTAATCTTATGGACTTAGAGAAAACAGACAAAAGCTGTTTAAAGACATCATTTGTGCAATCCATGAGCCAAACTGATTCCACACAAGTTCTTTTGCCACAGTGAGCTCCTCCTGAGGTCCTGAACCTGTACCTTGTCTCCAAGCCAGTGTTCCTGCCAAATACTACTTTATATGAAAGGGAAGATTTTTGTTTGGATTCTGATCACTTTTCAGAAGACTCCCTCTAAGACTTGGATCCTGCTTCTGCTGGTACAGGTTTACTTTAGTCAGTAAGACTCACCTTGTTCTGTATAGACCGGGTGAGAAAGAGCGACACTTCTTCCAGGTTCTGAGGCCTTATCCCATTCACAGCCAAAATATGATCTCCATGGCAAAATAAGCATCCCAGCTCTGGAGGGCCTTCCCACTGAGCCACACTGCAGTAGAAATACGACACAGTACCTGAGTGAGAGAGAGAACTCATAGGGAGACCAGGACAAGGCTGGGGCCTGCAGGGACTCTTTCCTCTGAGCTGGGTTGCACCACATCTAAAGTAAACTCTCTTTTCCTTTCCATTTGGAGTTTTCCTTTCTCTGTCACCTCTGTTAGAGCCTAACTTTTCTTCAAAACCTACTCCCTTGAAAAACCCTTCATTCTACTTCCTGTGCTATAATGAATCTCTTCTGCTTGTGGACTTCTACTGTGTGTCTACTTCTAGGTAACTTACTCATCATATTTTTAAATAAAATGCATTTTATGTTTACTTGTTTATGAGGCCATCTTTTCACCAGATCCATTGTGTACTTGGAAGTATAGTTCTGCCTTTTTCTTGTTTATTTGTAACTTTTTATAATTACAAGTAAATAGAAGATGCTCAATGGAAGGAAGCTCATAAAATTACACCACGAATGAGTGAATGAATGAACGAATGAGTGAGCAGTCTTAATCACACAGAAGTCTGCAATCTGGTGAAGTATTAATTGAGGCTTTCATTGTAGAAGATTTGGAAAAATGAAAGGTTATGATTCCTGCCCACTTAGAACTTAAAAGATAATGAACGTGTAGCATTTATTTTACATTAAAAGATGTTTTGTTCTAAACATGCAATCTTCCCATTAAAATGAATTATGGTCTTTAAAAGAACGTCTAATGGGGTTCGTGCATATAGCTCAGTGGCATAGTGCCTGACTGGCAAGCACAAGGTCCTGAGTTTGATTCTTGGTACCTAAAAAAAAAAACCATGATATGAAGCCAACTTGAGACTGACGCAGGAGGATTGCAAGTTCCATGCTGGACTACACAATTTAGAAAGACTTTGTCTCAAAATAATAAATAAAAAGGGTTGGAAATGTTACTCAGTGGTAGAGCACCCCTGGATTCAACTCCTAGTGCTGGATAAAAAAGAAAAAAGAAAACTATTTAGAATCAAATAAACAGTGATTGTGTTAAGAAAATTCTCTGGCATGCAGCCTTTTATGTCTGAGTCCTGGACCAGAGGTTCTTTAGGTGATGTCTAAAAGTCTTGTGTCCTATAACCTTTTTTTCATTTTGATCATTGGCTCTTGTTAACCACATTCATGAAATACTCAGGGGGTAGTACATAAGGCCCTTGGACATAGGTACTCCTACCCACTCTCTCTCACCTTTGAAAAATTAGAAATGTGCCACTTCCTGAACCTTGGAGCCCGGGCACACCCACCTCCCAGCTGACTGCACATCCATACTCCTCTTTGGCCTCAAAGACAACAATCCAAGTCCCCAGTCAGTTTTGTCAAATACAGTGTTTCAAAATACAATTGTCTTTTCCTTATCTTTTAATCTCATTTACGGTCACAAAGACTCACATTTCCCACGTACCATATCCGCCCTGCGGCTTCTATGAGAGCAAGATAATTAATGACATCTGGAGGAGAAAGGAACACATTCACACTCTCCACATGGCTTTCATCAGGGATGTTACTGAGAGAGAAAACATTTGTAAAAGTCACATCAGGCAACTGTCCCTGTCTCTGAACTGTCTTTCTGAGTAGATTTTGGCCTCCTATTTCTGAGATGATATTTTCCAGTTAAAGATTGTTTAAAACATTTAGAGAGAAATATGAAATTAAGTTCCTAAAAATTACTCATTAATGTCTTTCCTCATCCCTCTTGGGTTGTAGAAGTGTATAGCTGGAAAGCAAGGCAGAAATGGACTAAATTGTTTATATAACCATCAACATCATGTCAGTTTGTGTATTTCTCTCCTAGAAATGATCCCATAGAAGAGGACATGGAAAAGAGTTAAAATTACAATAATCTGATTAAATGATAGGGGCATCACTTAAAACCTAAACATCTAGTGCTGGAGGTTTAGCTCGGCAGCACAAGTGCCTTCCTGGCAAGCATGAGGTCATGAGTTCAATCTCTGGTACAGAATCACCCCCCTTTAAAAAAAAAAAAAAAAAAAGCAAGCTAAACATCCTTGTAACCAAGCTGCATGCATCATGCATGACCAAAGTTATGCTAATGGTAAAACTCAGGTGATGTAATACTCAGATCAATGTAGATTCAAAGTTTCAGGATCTGACAGACTAGCCAAGGAGAATTTATAAAAATAGTAAAAACTGCCATCTTCAGCACAGGGTCACCCCAGTGGACCAAGCTTTGCTCCAGCTCAGTTGTTCACTGTCTTTAGCCATAAGGTCAATGACAGTGAAAAACTAACTGGCTAGATTCTTGGCTGACTTGGAGATTTTTAGGATCTGGTTCAAAATTTGAATTCTAAATAAAATAGGAAGATTGCTTTGCTGTTGGGGCCCATCAAGTTGAAGTTAGAGCTTTACTTGAGTAAAACAGACAATTTCACAACAGTTAGTGAGGCCGACCCCGTGTTATCATTCGCAGCTTGTGCTTCTGTATTGGCAGGTGGAAGGCATGAATTGCTTTCTGAGTCTTGAGCTTGCAGGTGAGACTCCCCATCCTGAGTCTCTGGAAAAGTGTGGGATTCCCCTTGGCAATCAGCAGGTGCATGAGGTGTCTCTTTGACAAACCTAGAGTATAAGAAGTTAAAGCGAATCTTTTTTAAACATGTCTATTTACAACTTTCCACAGTGTGTGTCAGATTTAAGCAGCTAACAGCTGTGAAAAAGCAACACAGTCTTGGAAGTATGTCCAGCCATCAGGGTCACAGCCATAATTAGAATCAAATCCAACAAGCTTTCCTTCTAAAAGTGGATATGGAACCAAAATAACTCCTTACAGGATTTGGAAGACAGAGTGAGAGTGTGAGAGACATAAATGCAAAATAGGAAACAACTTCCGCAGACAGAAAATGTCCTGAGGATGTCACAAATGGTTTTCTGTGGATGGAGAAACCATTGCCAGTTTTTCCTATTTTGAGATCTCGGAATGAGTTGAACATTCCTTACCCAAGAATCAGAAAACTGAAACGGTCTAAAATATGAAATAAGTTCCAATATGATGCTACACATGGAAAATTCCACACCATGAATCTTTGTTTCATGCACAAAATTATTAGAATATTATATAAAAATAATCTTCAGGCTATGTGTATGAAGGCTATATGAAACATGAAATGAATTTCATGTTCATTGACTTCATTCCATCTCCAAGATATCTTATTATGTGTATACAGACACCCAAAATGTGAAACACTTCTGGTTTTAAGCACTTTGGATAAGGGATATTCAACCTGCACTGAATAATGGCTGTGGTAATATTGTTCATCAAGTTCTCAACTATTAAAAATCAATTGATAGTAATTATAAGGCTACATTAACTAAGATTTCAAAATTTTAAAATGGCAAGTTTTACTTACAAGGATTTCATTGACATATAATCAGATTCAGTTTCCTCGGACACCCCATCTGGACAATCAGAATTGTTAGAATCCATAGCATTACCAGGTTCGATGGTTTCCCCAGACTCATGGGAATCAATAACACTATCCAACTAAAGACAAGAGGAACAGTCAGAAAGATACAAGTTCACCAAATAGTCAGATACCTTCTTATGTTATTGCTCTGGGCCCTAAAATAGTAAGTATATCCACTGGTGGATGAACAGTGGTTTTCATTTAGGAAATTATCAACCGCCCTTACCTACCAAGACTGAACCAGCAAGACTTCTGGTAGGTTCAAAGCCTATTTTGTTTTAGCTCCCCATGCTCTTAACGCAAATATCCAATTGTACGAGACTGCTATTTATCTTTTTGTTTTATAAGAAGGCAGTTTAATAACACAACTCCTTTTCCTGGGTCAGTTCTAGTACAAAATCATGGAACCTATAGAGTGAAGATGAGACTCCGTGTGGAGCTGGTCTCTGGCTAATGTGCTAACAGGTAGCCCAAGTTACTTCCAGGGATTGTGAAGAGCCTAGATAGTGTTGCCCTTGGACTCAGCCAGCCACTTAGAACTAAGAGTCATTGATAATAATGTTTGTTCAAAGTCCTTAAGACATGTACTTTGTCCATCACTAGACCATAATTCTAATAGTACCTTCCCATCAAGCCAGTCTTCTCACTGGTGCCCCTCACTTGTGCTTCTCTGGTGCTCATATTCATGCTGCTTCCTTCATTTGGGACACCCCCTTTCTCTTCGGCTCTTTGCAATCATAGTCAGGCCTGGTTGAAATCCTACACCTACCCCCATCACCTCAGCCACTCCTGATAACTCTGAATTTCTACTGCACGGTTTTACCTACCTTCCTAGACTCTGCATCCTACAGAGTATCTAGCAAATGTAGGTGTATAACTGAAACTCGATAACATCTGATTGGTTGGCTGGACTATATCATAAAAGATTCTTCCCCAGAGAGAAATAGTATGAAAATATTTGGGGTAGGAAAGAAGTTTCTGTGGTTAGATGAGGCTAGGAGATACTGTGTGTTGTGTTGTATACCACTCGGCTCTTCAAAATGCATCACATACCAAAGACTGTAAGAACTCTACTGATACAAAGCTTGTTTACATTTAAACTGGAACTCCCATCCCATATTTGATCCTGGAGTATTTCTTTAAATGAACATGGCATCATCTAGTAGAAACCCCCTAGTTTAAAAAATAATGCTCCCCACCCACTTTGTTTTCCTGTGTCTACTTATTGTTTCATATATATATATATATATATATATATAGCCATAGATATATAGGCAGTGCTGATCATGTGACATGTATATATATATGCTAGGTTGATATGACTGAAAGACAACTCAGGTTTTACCACTTCCCAGCCTGGAAGCCACCTCTGCACCTGTGCAGAAGTCAAGACCAAGCATGGTCAGGCTTTTTTGTTGTTGCTATGCCATTCACATACACTGAATTTCAGCCTAATTGAGCTATTCACCAAATGCCATTTAGTCTCTGAAGACTTTCCTGATTCCAATGGAGAGAAAAATGCTCTCCTATTTCTAACGCTTCCGGAGTATTTTGTGCCTCTGTTTAGCATTATCATGTGGCAGCTGGTGATACTGTGAGCTCTGAGGGGATAGGATATGTCAGATTCATTTCTGTAGCCACCATGCCTCAGACAGTACAGTGTCTGACACTCAAAAGGGCTTCCTGTTGATCAATAGATTAACACATACCATACAGTTTATCACCAAAGGGCATTTGCTCTTATCGTTCTTTTAGTCTAGCATGCAAAAGGACTCCCAAGTCAACTATCCTTCTCACAAATGGTACATGGCACAGGCTCAGCAAACATTGGTTGAAGAAATGAACGACTAATGAATGGGAGGGATTACCTCTGAAAGAACACTTCGAGGAGTAAGATAATGGCCCTCTTCTTCTGTAACTTCAGTGGCCTTTGACGGGAAAACAAATGTAACATGAGCTTGCCTGAATCCTGGAAGACTTTTTTCTATTGAATGCTGAATAAAAGAGATGCAGAAAGAATTAGTGATTCTTTTTCCGGAATATAAATCCCTACAAGAAACAGAATGTAAACATATCATTCAGATTTGTTTCTCAATAGTGTGATTTTTGTCCTTTGGCTGGCATCCCCACTCCCATCTTTTTCCATTTATCAGCTCCTCCCAGCTGAGAAGGTAATTAGCTGAGAGTCAAACCCTGTACCTCTCCTTCTCCTGCTCAGTATTTATCTTTTGTACTTTGCTCCCATACATGTACTGTTCCCATAGCAGTGCAATTTGGCAGTGCTGATCATGTGACAGTACGAATTATAGGCTTCAAGGTGATGTAGGTTCAAACAATTAATGATTGCCGTCCCTCCCCCAAGAGATACAGGATAGTCTTGCAAAGTAGTTCCTTTGTGTGCTAAGGAAATTTTACAAGCACAATTTAATTCCTCCAAGAACAATGCCTGATGGCAAGGTATTTTCAGAACACTCTCAATGTTCTCTGAGAAGTCTCTGAAAGGTAATTTTTTAAAAGTAGGTAGATAGACAATACTTGACTTACGGTGGTTCAAAGTATGATTTTTTTTTTTTTTTTTTACTCCATGATGATGAAAAAACAGTATACACCTAGTAGAAATCATACTTTAAATTTTAAATTTTGATCTTTTCCCAGGGTAGTGATATGTCTCACAATGCTGAGCTCTCAGGCAGCCCTGCACCTACAGGGGATGGTGGTGGCAGTGGCGGTGCAGTGACCAGTATTGTACTGGAAGCTGTGTCTTATACTGTGCTGCTAAGCTGTAGTGTTCTGTAGTTTAGGTGTATTAAATGCATTTTAAATTCAGGATATTTTCAATTGATGATGGATTGTTCAGGTTGTAACTCCACGAGCTGTTGTGTCCATTTTTCTAACTCCAAGTTCACTGTTATGGTTTGAACCTTCTCTCCGAAACTCAGGTTAAAATTTCATTACTGTCCTAACAGTATTAACAAGTAGGGTCTTTAAAGGTGATTAGGTCCTGAGACCTCTGCCTTCCTGAATGTATTAACACTGTTATTAAGGAAATGGTTTTCTGACAAAAGATGAATTTAGCCAGACTTTTTGTCTTGTGCCTGCTTTCTTGCCCTTCTGCAAAATTGCTTGCAACAAAAAGGCCTTCACCAGGGGCAACCCCTTGATTTTGGACTTAGCCTCCAGAAATGTGACAAATAATTTTTTATTTTGGAAACTACCCAGTCTGTGGCATTTCCTTACAGCAGTTAGAAATGGACTGAGACACCTGTAGAACCAAGACATGCTGAGTCAAGGGGAAGAAAGTGTCCAACTTAACCACAGTGACAAAATCGCACAAGGCTAATGGTGTCCTTGACTCCAACTGGTTGAAAGATCACTGACTCTGAATGTGCAAAATGACCAACAATATTATCTCTGAGGGAATATTATTTCATAAGTGAAGTGCAAGAGATGTTTGCTGAAATTATTTATGCTCACCAAATGGATAACTGAGATGAGGTGTTTGGTCTGATAAATTTTCTGTTACAAAAAGCTTTTAAAATAGCTGGATAAAATAAAATAAAATAAAGCTAGATAAAATAAGAGGCTGTGCCTCACTAGATGTTCTTGGTACCCACAGAGGGGGGAACATCAATGGCAATGTCTCTAAACAGTGAAATAGGACCTATGCAGGAAAACAAAATCACTTAGTCTGTTAATCACTAACATACAAAGCTGGAAACATCACACATCCAAGAAAGCCAAGGGTACAATTAGAAGTCATCAAGAGGCAGGTGTATTATATTTTACTTCCTCAGTGGATTTTGTTAGAAATGAAGATGAAATGCGCACAGCTATGATGAGAACACTGATCAGGATAAATGAAGAAAATTACCAAGCTCTGCCAATGCCTGAGAAGTACAGACCGTTCAGTAGGAAATCGAGTGGTGTTTCAGAAATCTTTTTACAGAGGGACTTGTCACCAGTGTGTGAAAGAAAGGAAAAGGACCTCAGCGTACCATACCACAAGAGTATCAGGAACATCTAAATGCAGTGAAGAAACTGAGAGCAGGGCGAGTGGTGAAGTCTGTGTGTGTGGAAAATTAAACAGATCATGAAGATTAGGGTTAGGAATCATTCTTAGAATGCATAGGGCTTTAGGAAGGCGGGGAAAGTCAAATTCAACTGCTGATCAGTAAGCGCTGGGCAACTCCCACATGAGTATTCAGAGAGAAGGTGGTGACTGGTTACCATGTCTGGAAGGCTGGTCCTTGATGAAATGGGGCTGACAGTGTCCAGTGTGCTTGAATGACTGGAGAAAAAGCTGTTGTCAGAAGTGGGCCTTGCAGCAGGCAAAAAGAATCTCTCCTGTGGGGGACAAAGAAATTGTGTGGTCAGGCCACCGCTGATTGTGGATTTGCATCCCATCTCTTCTGCGTTCATCACTGAGTCTATGCATAGACCTGCTTCTCTTTCTCCTCCTCTTTGGCTTTGCTTTTTCCATAAGCATGAAACGTCCTAGAAAACATGTGAATAAAGATACCTAGTGATCAAAGTTCCTTTTGTAAAGTTCTACTCCAAGAACGAATTTGGGTAAGTTAACAAAGGCCCCTTAAAAACCTCAAATTACTTGCCTTTGCCCAAAAGAGGCATATTAAAGTTCAAGATGAATGGGAAACATTTTTACAGATATCAGCCTAGACTTAGTCACTTAAAAGAAAACTTATTATGTACGTAGAATAATAATGGTGGAAAATACAATAGTTCTTGACTACTGTTAACTCTCCCTCCCTCTTCCACAATAATCAAAATCTGAAGTGTCTATATTTCAACTCTTTTGAGAAATACAAAAGATGCCCCCCCCTTTGTTAATCATAAAAAATAACAAGGGCGTACATTTCCTCACTTATTTATCCTTTGTGTTAATGCTGGCTGCTAAGGAGAAAGAAAAAACTACCACTGTTTCTGTTGAAAGAGACTTGTGCCCAGGTGCCCTGTTATTTTATTAGTGATATACAGTCACCTTGGTGTTCTGATGAGCTGCTATTACACCCCGGCAGAACGATGACAAGAAGGAGACCCAGTCTCTAATCTTCTCCCTGTTGACAGGAATAAACTTTGAGCTGGTATGCAGCAACAATGGCACCTACACTCTTTCTGAGCCCGAGATGTGTTATTTTATTACAGCTAGAATAGGCCGTGGGAGCAGCTACTGGAGCAATAAGGATTTTTCCCGAGTAGCTGAAATTGTCCTCTGGTTTCTCACCACCTCCACATCTACACAGTAGAAGTAATTCTCATGCCGCCTCCATGAGGAAAGTTTGGAGAAAGGAGAAGAGAAATAGAAAATAATAGTGATAATCACAGAGTTTGGCACTTTGGGCTTTAACACTGATTTCTATTGCAGTCTCAAGCAAACCCCTAACCTGTCCGTACCATTTCTTTTACATAACTCTCCAGATGTGACATTCCTTGGAGAATGTATATTTTTATTAAGAAAGTAGTTGCATGAATTTATATAAATCTCATCTTGTGTCCCATTACCTCACATGACAACTTAGAAGTGAGCTTTTGGGTCTTTGGGTGGATCTGAATCAGACTGAAGTCTTCCATGCTTGGACTTTGGAGATCACTGCCTCCCCTCCTGCCATAGCCTCTCCCAAGCAGATAAGCATGCGTGAAGAATTCACTGAGCACCCTCACTAGCACCAGGAAACTCTCTTAAAAACCAGAGATTCCTTCAGCAGTGAGCAGGGTCCCTTCCTGATATACATGTCTTGTACAAATGTTCATGTGTTGAGTTCTTTTACCTGGAGTACATCTGGGTGACAGTGATATTATGAGTTGATTTGTGCTCCCCCAGAATATGTTCCAATCCCACTCCCAGTCCTCAGAATGTGACCATATTTGGAAACAGGGTCATTGCAGTAATTAGTTTAGATTAGGTCATACTGGCGTAGAGTTGGCTCCTAATCCATTATGATCGGTTTCCTTATAAAAAGGTGAAATTAGGATGCAGAGATAGACACAGAGGGAGAACACCACAAGCCACAGGATTGCCAGAAGTTAGGGGAAAGGCCTTGGGCAGGCCCTGTCTGGGAGCCCTGAGAGCATGGTTCTTGATTTTGGACTTAGCCTCCAAGATAGTAAAGGTTTTACATTTCTGTTGTTCTAAGCCAATCAGTTTGTGGTGTTCTGTAACAGCAGCCCTAAGAAACTACTATCATGGGTTTTAAAAGACATTTTAACAAATAGTAAAATCTGGCAAAATGGCATTTGAGTATATAACAGTGCATTTTTAGAGTGTATTTATTGTTTATCAATTTCCAAAGCTTTTTTTTAAAAAAAAAAACTGATTTGTTTTACATACAGGAGACACACAACTGTCTCACTACTCACTTGTCTTCAGCAATGAGGAAATAATCCCTGTTAGTGGTTCTGATGGACATCACCTGATCAGGTTGGCATTTAAACATCTTCTGTACAGATTGCATCTTTTCTGGGATTGTTATACCAACTTCAACAATAGAATTTCTGTTAGGGGTAAACACATAGTATAAACCCAATGTACCAACAAAATTAGGAAGAAAACCCACTGTTTCGTATTAGGACTCAAAATGGATAAAACTTGTGATTTGCTTGATTTTTTAAAAGATTGTTCAATAATTTTAATTGTTGGGGCTGGGGGTTTAGCTCAGCGGCATAAGCACCTGCCTTGCAAGCAGGCGGTCGTGAGTTCAATCCCCGGTACCAATAAAAATGAAAAAGACCAAAAAAAAAAATAATAATAATAATAATTTTAATTGTTATTATTTGAATATTTTTTGTAGAAAATAAATTTGGACTTTGGATCTAGTTTATCATTAACTGAAAATACATTCCTCATCCTGAAATTGAATTCAAAAGGTCCTATTTTGGATGGGTTCTTGATTCCACAAATCATCATCTTTTCCAGTTTTTTGTACATTATTTCTTTAAAAGAAGACAAAAGGAACTGATCTAAATACTTTTTAAAAACCATTTTTGGCTTTACAAAATAGCATGTTCATTTCTCCCCATCTACAAATTAAGTGAACTAAAGTTCTTTTTACCTGAACATTTACTAATTAAAGATAGATAGCTATAGCATAAAATATGAATTAAATATTTAACTACTTTTATCTCAAATGTTATTATTTTAGTTCCTTTTTCAGCTACAAATATTATAATAGATTTGAAACTTCCTGGTTCCTTCTGTCAACAATTTAAATTCAAAGTTGCACGCAGCTTGTTAGTATTTGATGTGATAGTATTTGTTGTTACAAGTTTTCCTTCTTGGATACACACTGATCAATTTCAATGGAACCTCGGTGATGACAGTCTTTGTAATAGGAAAGACTAAGTCTCTTTTCCTTATTCTTTGACAGGATAAAAAACCGCCTTTTCCAAGAGGCCTAAAAAAATGAAAACATTTTGCATCTCAGTTAAATCTCAGACAAAGAGAAAAGACATTAAAAATGCTCATAAAGCTGGTGGGAGCTTGTTAAACCACAGTGAATACTTACTGAGGAGAAGAAAAGCGGAGGAGGGGGTGACTTAATAAAGTAATCTTGTTTACAGACTTCATTTTCATGATAAAATGTAAACCTTTTGCCTAATAAAAGAAAGTGAACAGGACTCAGTTTGTGCCTTCAGAAATATCATAAAAGAAAAGTTGGAAAATACTGTTTGTCTCTGGAAAGGTTTTCTAATTATTCAGTTTTTCAAAAGAACCTCCACAATAGCCCAAAAAGGAAAAACTAAGTGTGTGCTTCTTATTCACCTACGGTTGTGGGCTTCATTCCCATTATGTGGAGAAGCGCCTTAATTCAGCGCCTACCTGTCTGTTTCTGGAGTATGGCACAGACGGTCTGAAACGTGACCAAAGCTTTCTCTGTGTTTCATTACAGAAGCAAGATGTTTCTTGGCATTGCTCTTTGGCTTAACAAATAAAAGCAAAACCACTTGCTATTAAACATTAAATGTCAAAGTAGTTTTTTGAGGGGAGGGTTAGTTGCTGCAAAAGCTATGGAAGAAGAAAGACCAAGACAGCTGCTTTACTAAAATTACTCTATACTAGAAAAATGGTCCCAACCCTTGTATTACAAGTTTTCTAATCCTGTTTTCACTGTTCACCAAAGATACTCTAAATTTTTAGTGAAGTCTGCCTTTTCCAAAGCTCTGTCCTGGATATAAAGGTAAAACTAAACTCTTAAAATTTTTATTTTAACAAAATAAGGAAAGTCATACATAACTCTTGTACTTGTTTTGGGAAATAGAAAGAAAAAAAAGCTCCTACAACTCTAGTGCTTACAGTGAAGATGTCAATGTCTTGGGAATCTCTTTGTTTAACCATTTTGCCACCTCGCTGTGAGCAGCAGATGGTTTTGGTTATGTTTTCTTAAGTTGAAAGGCAGCACACAGTTTTCCTCATGCATTCAGTAGTATTGAGCAGCCCTTGTCTGTGCTAAAATTGCCTGAGTCCAGAGAATGAGCTTCCAGAAAGACTAGAGACAACATCGCTCAGTGCTCACTTCAGAAAATTTCCTGTTCCCTCTAGCCAGACTGGAAAAATTTAGGATTTATAAGATTTGAGGTAGAGTCCCCACAAAAGTCTTGCCTTGGTAGCGAGAAATAATTAACCTTAGACTGAGGACTATGCCAGAATCACCTAATAATTCACGAAAGCAAGTCTTAACAGGATCAAATTGTTCTCAAGAAACTCAACTGCAACCGGGTGTGGTGCCTCATGCCTGTTATCCCAGCACTCTCGAGGATGAAGCAGAAGGATTGTTGCGAGCTCAAGACCAGCCTGGGCTACAAAGTGAGCTCAAGGCCAGCCTGAACTGCATAGAGAGACCCTGTCTCAAAAAGACAAAAGACAAAAAAAAAAAAAAAAAACAAAACAAAAAAACCCAACTGCATCCCAAAACAAAACTCAAGATTTATAGCAATGACAACAAAAATCCAGTACCCAAAATAATAAAATGTGCAGTGTCTGGCACTCAGTCAAAGATTGTCAGGCATGCAGAAAAAGGCAGAAAAGCATGATATATAGTGAAGAGAATAACCAGTTCTAATAGATCTGTAACTGACAAAGATGTTAGAACTGACGAAAAGGTCATAAACACTTAATATCAGTATATTCTCAAGAAATTAAATAGTGATATAAAGTAAAATATACCCAAAGTGAACTTTTAGAGATGAAAATTATGATATCTTAAAAACAATATACGATGAATGGCAGTAACAGCAGACTAAATATTGTAGAATAAAATATGCACTTGAAAGCATAAAAATAAAGAAATAAAGAGCTACTAAAAAAAAGAATTTAAAAGCAAAGAGTGCCTATACATTACGTATATGGACAGTTTCAAGTGACCCAAATAATTATATACAAATAATTGAGATTCCTTAAGTGACAGACAGACACAAATACACAAAGAAAAATTCTAAAAATATAAACCCAGAGATTCAAGCAATTCACTAAGCCTCACACATAAACACAAGATATAAATTGCTCAAAATTGTTGATAAAGAAAAAAATTCTTAAGATCAGTTAGGGTGGGAGAGGGGAAACATACAAAATAAAGATTAAGAAGAAAGATACTGACTTTTTATTGGAAGCAATGCAACCAAGCAAGAGTGAAACAATTTATTTCTAGTACTGAAAAAAGCACTATCATTCAGAATTCTCTATGCAGTTAAAAGTAGCTTTAAAAAATGAAGAAAATTTCAAGACATTTTCAGACATGCAAATACTGAAAGAATTCACACCTGGAGGTTTGTGCTTGTCTTTCAGGCAGAAAAAAATAACATCAAATAGAAATCTGAATTCCTGAAATAAACGAGGAATGTTGAAATAGTAACTACAAAGGTGAGTATGTGATATCATCCTATTATTATTTAAAAAATCAATTGGCTATCTAAACAAATATGACAAAGCCTTGTGCAGATTATAATAGGTGTATAAGTAAAATACATAAATGCCAGGAAGGCAAAATGGAAATTCGCTGTGAAGTTCGGGTATTATTTGTAAATTGATATAATAGCACGAGGTTAGACTGAGATAGCTAAAAATGCAACAACTATAAAATAATGACTGAAATTATAAAGTTCAGTGTTATAACTAATAAGCCAACAAAGGAAACAGCATAGAATAATTTCAAAACAATCCAGAAGACGGCATAAGAGAAGATAAGAAATGAGACAATTAGGAACCATAATATCGGGGGCTGGGGATTTAGCTCAGCGGCATAAAGGCCTGCTTTGTAAAGCAGGCAGTGGTGAGTTCGATCCCCAGTACCAATAAAAAGGAAAAAGACAAAAAAGAAAAAGACAAAAAAAAAAAAAAGGAACCATAATATCATATACTTACACATAACCATATCACTGGTAACATTAAGTGTAAACCACCTAAACACTTCAATTAAATGACACAGGTTGTCAGACTGGACCAAAACAAACAAACAAACAAACAAACAAAATCAAGACCTAACTCTATGCTGCCCATAAGAAACACGTATTTTAAATATAAAGAGACAAGTAGTCAGGGATGTAGCTCAGTAGCACAACATCTGCCTGGCAAGCACAAGTTCCTGAGTTTGATTCCAGGTACAAAAACCAAACAAACAAACAAACAACAACAACAACAAAAAAAACAGAGAGTGACAAATAATAATTTACAAATGAAACATTAGAAAAAATATGCATGGCTATATTAACCTCAGTGTAGATTTCAAAGCAAAGAACATTACTAGGAATAAAGAAAGCCATTTCATAATAACACAGGAGTCAACTAATTCTAAGTGTACATAGCAACCCTAAGAGTACATAACATAAGCCTGGCCCATGAAAATCAGAAAATGCTGAATTCTTAGGTCAGCTTTTACAAAATAACTAGATCCAACAATTTCTACTCTATTCTCCAAACCAAGAATCATTGTCCCAGTACACCTAATAACACAGCTTCAAAACACAGGAAGCTAAAAGGTTATAGAACTGGCAGGTATGATGGTGCATACCTGTAATCCTAGCACTTGGGAAGCTGAAGTAGAAGGATCACCATGTGTTTGAGGCCAGCCTGGGCTATACAGTAAGTTTGAGTCCAACCTCAAAAAAACCAACCCACATAACAACAATGGGGAAAAAAACAATACAATGCAAGGAAAAATACACTTATCCATAAATATAGCCAGATAATAAACACCCCTCTTTTAACTGATAGAGCAAGTAAGTTAAAAAAATCAACAAGGGTATTGTAGAATTAAGCAATACTACCCACTAATATAATCTGTATCTATAGAACACACCATTCAACAACAGAATGCACACTTTTCTCAAGGGCACAGCAGTATTAACACAGATTGATCATAGTGGTGCTACAAAACGTCTCTTTAAATTGAAAGGGTTGAAGTAATACAAATTGTATTCTCAGAGAAAAAAAAATTCTAATCACACTAGAAGCCAATAAAAAACTTCAAAAATATATTCTTGAAATAAATAAGCCCTGAATCAAAGAATAAACCCTAGTAGAAGGTAGACAGTTTTTTAATTGCATGAAAATTAAAACACAATATATCACAATATGTGGGTACCACTAAAGGAACACTTGGGGGTAAAAATTATTGCACTGAATGCTTGTGTTTGAAAAGCAGAGTGTTACCAACACCTCAGGTCCCACATTAAGAAACTGGGAAAAAAAAAAAGAATTTAAAGTCCACTAATGAAAAGAAATAAGTCAAAATGGAACTCAATGAAAAAGAATAGAAAAACAAGAGAGAACTAGTGAATCTGAAGTCAATCCCTTGAAAATCAGTTACAATAACAAACCTCTATCTAACAAGATACATCAGGAAAAATAGAGAGTATGCAAATTGCCGATATTAGGAGAAAAGAAAGCACTTAACTACTGATTTTATTGATAATTACCTTGATTTGGGTGATGGCTTTATGGTTGTATACATACTTCAGAACATCAAACCCTGCACATCCTATAAGGTTTAACTGAAATTCCTTCTCCATAAAACATCTCTGCATTCCTACAACTACAGATAGGCTTTTTTTCCCTTCATATTCCACAAGGGTTTGTACCTATTTCATGTTTACAGCATAGCCTGATTAAATGTGCTGATCTTAATTTCCTAATACAGCTACGTGTATGTGTTTAATTTTCCAAGAAGACCATAAACTTCTTAAAGGCAATGACTCATTAATTCGTCTGTATTTGTCTTACTGCAGGAAGCATACAGACTTACAATGGTGGGTTCTTTGTAAATGTTTTTGAGATGGATAGGATGATTTTATTTCTAAATCACCTTATTCCACTCCTGTAGCCAATCACCTACAATTAATTATGTGAATATAAGCAAGGATTTTGAATAATATACCTCGAGTTACCTCATAATAAGCCTCAATAACAATTTAGACCATTCTTCTAAGTGAGAATACCATGAAAATTTAATGAAATAGAGCCTGTCATTGCTGGGTCTTAGTTTGCTATTAGCATTGTTTCCAAGCAACAAATGGAACATTTGGCCCATGAAAATCAGAAAATGCTGAATTCTTAGACAGGTCAGCTTTTACAAAATAACTAGATCCAACAATTTCTACTCTATTCTCCAAACCACGAATCATTGTCCCAGCATGCCACTAATTATTCCACTAAAACTAATATCCATATCTTTGTTAGTGTGATGAAACTGATCATTTTTGAGAAATTAAAAAAAAATTGCTTCTGAGTTCATTCCCCTTGAATACCTGCACTCTTCGGAGATTTGGTTTCCATTATGTCTGTCTGTTCTCACCTATTGAAAATAAGAGTTACACATCAGTCTCCAGACAACAGCTATTGAACCATTTAGCTCAGAGTGGTGAGGTGAGTTATGGTGTGTCCCTTCTCCATTCCTTCTTTACTAGTTCCTCCCTGCTCCCGAGCCTGATGGCTGCTACCATAAAGAGAACATGTCCAAAGAGCTTGTTCTAGAAGCCACCGAGGGAACAGTCTTCCCTGGACTTTGTTCCAGTGTGGTCAGCAGCTGTGTCCTGAGAGCCCTGGGTACACCGCCAACACCAAGGAGGGTGGGAGATAAGAGCAGAGGCCAGGAGGCCAGAGGCAAAACACAGATAGCTGAGAGGAAGCTCAAGATAAGTACTTCCTCATGCCAGGGCCTCACCTTCTCCAGAGGAACAATACACAAGGAGCTGAAGCCCTGTTTACTGCTGCCTCAGCCCCTGCAAGGCTATGCACACACAGCTGACCCTGGGACAGAGGCCGACAAGGAAGTCCTCTCTTAAATAGCTCCTAGTGACTCCATGGCCAAGAGAGGACCAAGGGATGGAAGGGGATTCATGCAAGGGCAGCAGGCAGGTGATATCTGAGAAACTAAGACTGTGTCAGTGGTCAACTTTACCTTGAATGAGTAACACTGAAGACCTTGAAAAGGGAAGTGCCAGGGGCAGTCCTGGTTAAAAAAAAGGTGGGGAGAAGACAGAAGAAAGAAGGACTTTGATGATTCAGCTGTCATGTGAAATTTGTCTTCTCCCTTTCTTCTGCATAAACTTTATATATATATATATCTTTCCAGAAAAAGGTTTTGTTTCTTTAGATAGCCTGTATAATAACAGTAGTGTGGTTTGAGCAAATTGCAACTTCACTGGGCCTTCTTAAGGTGTGCGTTGAAGATGTGTTGCCCTGGCCTCAGCCTGATATGATGGGCACACACTCTGCTCAGTATAGTTCCTAGGAAAGTTGCCCAGCTAGTGAGGCCAAAGGCCTTTGTTCCCAGGAAAAGCAATTCTGCCTAAGGAAGTGGAATACAACCTACTTAAAACCACTGCCCGCAAAGCATGGGCACATAAAAAATACCCCTGAGATTTTGAATCAAATTCAGGAGGTCCCCCTGCCCCAGTTTTAGGATTTCACTGCCTAAAGAAGAATCAGGAATAAGGGGCTGGTTCAGCCACCTACGTGGGACTCAGCCACCCTCCCACACATCATTTAGTAACGGAGCTCTAACTCAGATCCTAGGGCTGTGCTGGAGAGATTAGCCATGCAGATTAGTGGCAGATTTTTAAAGCATTGTATTTACTACAAGCTGTTTGAGGGCCGTGCTTTGCCAACAATTCCAAAAGCATTTCTTTTCTGATCTGATAATTATTTTTAAGCTTTTCTATTTATAAAAGCCAAGGGTAAAATCTTCACAGGTGCTAGTTTGAGCACTTGTTGGTGGCTAAGATTTCAAACAGAGCTTGCGTTGAATCTTCACCCTGACTCCAGTGTGTGGGAACTCTGGTGAGCCAAGGAGACCCTGGGCCAGGAGACTTCCTGTAGACGTCTACACACACGATTTCTCTGTGTCTCAGAGCTGTTCTATTCTGAGGTAGGTTGTTTGACAAACGAAAAACTGCACTTGAGGGAGGAAAAGTAAGGTGACTTGTACCCAGTCCTTTGTGGGAGCCCCCAACACACCTTGTGTTGATGCTAACAGACACTCCCAGTGACAATCACATTCCTTGTACACTGGATAGCCAAGTGTACTTTGAAGGACATCGCTGACCTTCCACTATCTGAAGGGCTCCAGTGTCACCAACAGGGACCATTTCTCCCTCTTCTACCCATTCACTGTAAAATAAAGACAACACATAAAATGGTAAGATATGACGATTTTGTGAGCAGTCTGTGGTGTCTGTACTTAAATCTAATGCCATTTAGAGATGAGAGACGTGACTTGAATATATTACATCTCTTTATGCCTCCACTTCTTCATCTATAAAAATAATGCATCTTTAAAGTAATATTACCATTTTTAAGAGCCAGGAATTTAGCTCAGCAGCATAAGTGCCTGCCTTGCAAGCTCATAGTCATGAGTTTGATCCCGGGTACTGACCAAAAAAAAGAAAAAAAAGACTTCTTTTTCTTTTTTCGTTTCTTTATTTATGAAGTTACAGTTTTTGAGACAGTGTCTTACTATCTAGTCCAAGCTAGTCTTTAAATTTCAGTGATCCTCCTGGCTTAGGCTTTTGTGTGCTGAGACTGTAGATATGGTCACTATCCCTGGCCTCTGTACTTCTGAGTTTCTAAGGGGGCAAGGCAAGTTTCTAAAATTGGAGTAGGTAGGAATCAATAGTAATATAACTATGCAAGATGGAGCAATAGAATTTCAGAATTCTGACAACATGGACAGTTTTAAAAAGTCATATTGTTACAGGCAGCTGAGCTAGATAGAAATACTATAGGCAGATTATGAGACTGTCTCAAAAAGACAAAAAAAAGAGAAAAAATATTGTTACCATTTCCATAAGAATTCTAGGAGCATCAAGTGAGATAATCTGATGAACATTAAGTGTGTAATAATTTACTAAAGGAGCTAAATAACACTAGTTGTCAGGCCTTCTGCAAATCAGATAGTCTATGATTGTTTCATAATGGCTATCATTTATTATGTAAGACATTCCAAATATTTCTAAGCAGTATGTATGTAGGTCTTCATTACAATACTATAAGTGTATAATTTTTACAATAATATTTTAAAGAGATTAAAAGAAAGCAAAAACAATAAAAACAAAACAATAGAAATGATATAGAATTTCAAAACAAGCTGATAGGAAATTACCAATAGTCACTATATTGCATATTGTATCTTCAGAATAGTTGCTCTGATTATAAGATACACATGCAAAACAGATCAAACAATATAAACAATCGCAGTTTCTTTCCCTGAACTAATAAGATCAATAGTTACAATTATCTTAGCTATCTTGTATACATATATATTTTTTCCCTTCCTTCTTTTCTCTTTTTTCCCATCCAAGTTGTACTTTCCTTTTGAGCAGTTTCATTTACCTTTCACAATATCTATAATTTTTGGCCGGGGATTTAGCTCAGCAGCATAAACGCCTGCTTTGCAAGCATGAGGTATGAGTTTGATCCCCAGCACTAAAACAAACAAAAATAGTATCTATAATTTTTACAATAATATAATACACAGCTATAAACAAGGAAAGAGTTACTAGAAAAATTAAACAACTTGCTTTTCATCACATTAACTAAGAGAACCAGTCAAATTCTAATTTGAATGTTAGACTTCAGCAATTTGCTATTTTTTTCTAAGAAAGAACAATTAAATTTTTACATAGTTCTGCCTGTATTTATTGTTATTGCCCCCTCCCACCCCATCTTCCAATTCAGTTCTTCAGTCCCATTCAGGAAACTCTCCCCATATTCACTGCTTAGTTTACTCTAATGTCATTTGGTACTTAACCGGTATGGTACCCAGAGGTGCTATTTCCCTCTGTATAACCTAAGAAAAGTATAAAGAAAAACCAATTCTGTAGTAATAAGATTACTCAAATGTGAAATTTCCAGTTTTCAATTTCTCAATCGCTCAATTCCTAAAAAGCTTCCAGATCCCCATCGTTTTGAGAAGTCAAATCACTGAGACGCTGTCTAATACTTACAGGAAGCCAAGAGTTTGCTGATCCAGTTCTCAGAAAAGCACTGTCCTTGGGTCTTCTGAAGTCTGTCTGTTCACTCTGACCGTTGGTGCCGGGTGTGGATTGAGTACACCCTGGTTTGCACTGTGAACCAGAAGGAAGTTCTCAAATTTGTATCCTTGAGAAGATTTTCTTTTTGTCCTAAACTCAAAAGGAAGCTGGTGCCTTGGGGGAAGTCCTGGGCTTTAGTTTTCTTGTGGCTTGGCACACAACTGCCCTTGGTGTTCCCGGTATCTAGCATTAAAAAAAATAAATAAAAGCAAACAAATTAAAAAAAAAAACTGCAAGACTTTGGACCATGATCACCACAATGACTTACTGAGGACAGTATCAACATAGCCCTGACTTGCTGCAGGGAATAGTGTAGCTTCCCACTATTCATATCTTACTATATTCTCTGGAATAAGGCAGGGAGGGTTCCTTTTGCACCAGAGGAGGAAACACAAGCCTGGCTTCTCCAACACACTTGTATATGCCAGTGGTTTCCAAAAACAGTTACCTGTTCAGCTGTGATGGAGGTGTTATCATCAACAAGGAGATTCTGGGCATGTGATCCTGCATGATTGTGTAACTTTTTTACATTGCTGGGAATGGAGCACAGAGCTTTGAACATGTTGTGCAAGCTTAGTGGTAACATTCTGTCGCTAAGTTATGCTCCCAGCATCTCTCAGCAACTCCTTAAGTTAAGCAGGTTGCACGAACACATATGGTGCAATCTGATCAGTAGTATTTGGCCAGCAAAGGGCTTTGGGTGTATTTTCACTTGTATTACAAATTGTTAGGAGTGAGAAGAAAGTGCTAATGAACTTCATCCTATAATATCATCTTTAGAAATGAAAGTATGTAATCATTAATTTTAATCTTTATTATCCTGGTTAGAGTACCTGGACTCCCATCAGCTCTCCTATGATTCATTGCATGGTTTTAGAAAGTTAAAACTTAAGTTTTCTAAGACTACTTCCTTGTTGGCAAAATGGATAATTCTGACTTTTCAGGATCTTTTGAAAGCTGAAGCTTTCATACATAAGAAGGATCTAGTTTAGTGCTGGATCCATGGTCAGCATTCAACAAAGTTCTTTCTCTGTTTTTCTCTTTCTGCACAGGTATTATTTGTTCTATTTGGCAAACTGAGCTGGACCTCAGGTATGCAGAAATGATTAATTTATTGCTCACCTCCAACAAAGGACAGGTTTTGTTTGATTTTTTGTAATGTATTTCCTGGACATTTCTTTAAGGTCATTATTAGTATTCTGAAAATAATCTTTAGTGTCTTTACATTTGGCATATAACCAGGCAGGATGAGTTACAGTTCACAGCTTTTAAAGTGAGTTGTCAGTTTAATTGGATTATGAACTGCATAAGGGTTTAGGAAAGCACATTTCTGGGTATGTCTGTGTTGTCAAGGAGGTCTGACACCGAGTGGTATATCTGGTCCCCGGCCCCTTCTTCTGTGATGCTGTTCCTAGGCACCATAAAGTGAGCAGCACAGCTCCACCACATCCTTTCACCATATTCCTGCACTGGAGCCAGCTGACTCTGGACTAACCCTCTGAAACCAGGAGCCAAATTGAATCAAGCCTCCCCTCTTTTAAGTTGCAGGTGTCAGGTTTTTGTCCCCAAGATGTGAAAGCTGACTAATTCATAGCTCTAAGTATTTCTTTAAAAGCTTTTGCCATCTTGCATTACTTGGAAACTACAAAGCTTACAGACAGCACGTCATTATAATACAGAGCTTTAATCAAAACTTATGTTCCTTTGGAAAGGATATCCCTATAAAATAGGCAGACAGATGGACTTTCCCTCATTCCATCTCTCCTCCCTCTTCCCAAGCTTTGTTGTTTATCTTATTCTCTAACAGTAGTATTACACAACTTTTTGAAGAAGCTCAATATATCCTATGGGTGCCTAGAAAAGGTATCATGTAGCACAGATACAACCTGTAAAGAACAACTAGAAAGCAAACAAAACCAGCTCAGCCATCAAATACTAAGTTTATGAAATATAAATTTAACTAAAAATGCAAGCATATAGTTTTCCCTATTAATGGTCTCTGACAACCTGTAAACAGAGTATCAGTCAAATACCTGTTGTAAATAAGCAATCGCCTATTCATCTGAAATATCACATGCATTAATCCCTGTCTTTGCTAATTATGATTTCCTTTTTTAATGTTTATACTATGTTTGTAGTTCATAATTATTATATTCACCATAGGAGTTTGTGTATGTACATGACATACTTAAGTCTCTTTACTTCTGGTTCCTCTGTCCTTAATTATGCTTTTCTATTATGTATTATTTCTTAGTTTTCTGCTTCACCTCAACCAAAACACAACTGAAAAGTTTATATTACATGGAAATATCTGATATTTAGGAGAAATTTTTTACTTTATCCAGACTATCTCATTCATTTCAACATTTCTGTAGGATATGTATTATTATTCCATAGTGTCAAAAGGATGAATCAAAAATTTAGAGAGCTGAGGCAGTTTGCTAAGGGTTGTGCAGTCAGTGTGTGGAACTGACTCAAACGCTAATCTCTCTTGACTCCAATGCTGGCATTTTTGTGTTTCTTGAGCCCTAGGCTGTGTGAGTCCTGGACTGGGACCAGTTTCCTTCAGCTGTCAGCCTCTTCTTCCACAAACTTCACAATCACTTAGAGACTACTAGGTCTGTGGCCCTAAGATCCCATTTCTGTTTCCTTCTTGAAGAGCTCTAAAATCCAGTCAGCACAGATTATTATTATGCCGTTGAGCCAATGCCAGTGACATCCATTTGTAGGCTATCTCAGGCATGTTATATGCTTGTTGTCCATGTGGGTAGTGACTGTGTCCTTGTGGATGCCGCCAGTGAAGGAATGACACCAGTAACATCACTTCAGGGTAGCCTTGGTGTACCTCTTTTCTGGAACAAAGAATGCAAATGAAGCAAGGAGAAAGCTGTGCACACACACACACACACACACACACACACACACACACTAATAGACTGTGTTAAAATACTAGTCCAAAGTCCATTTCCTAGTCCTTGTTTGACTAGTAATAGCATAAATCATCTTATACTGTAAATAGAAAGAAACAGACAATATAAGACATGTGTATGATTTTACATGATTCTTTTCTATCACTATACTTAGAAATTGCTGGATAGTATTAATTTTGACTGTGAGTAGAAAAAGTACTTATAGCAGTTTATTACTTATTTATTTGATATCATACAGTAAGTCAGAAGTGAAGCAGGCTAGTTTTATCACTCCCAGTCCTTTGTCTTGGACAGCACGTCTCAGTGATTTCTTCTTTCCCCAGACAAGGCCTCAGATTCACTTACAATGATGACTTTATATATTTTTTTATTTTCTTGGCTTTTTGGACGAAGTTGGCTGCCATCTGCATCATTTTCTCACAAGACAACATCTCAAACCACAGGGAAAGTTGGGGGAAATGAGCATCTGCTTTGTGTCCCTTCCACTTCGGGGAAGAAACTTTTTCCTACAAAGCTTGGCGAACACTTCCCCTTCCTTCTGGTTCGCTTAGGGTACATTACTTTGTGCTGTGCTAACTTTGGGACACATTTTGTCATTTGTAATTTTGTGTGCACTTGTCTGATTATTTCATTAATGTCTGTTTCTTCCTCCACAACACTGTGTAGTCCATTAAGATTAGTCTATTTCTGCTAATCATTGAACCCCTAGAGGTTAGCCTAAATCTTATACCACTCTGTTTATTGTGTGCCAGGTGTTATTTTATGGATGCATACATAAATAAAGTATAAGTGTCTTTGAAGAGCTCATAATTGGGGCAGGAGACCCAGAAACAATGGACTCTAAAACTCCAGTGGGCATCCCTCTCACTTCACTGTCCTATCCAATCCCAGGGTCACATTTTGGGCCTTGTAGTTTCCCATCCCTGCATGACCCTTGATAATTTTAATCCTGGAATCCTGCTTTCCAGCGACAATGTCACTTCATTCTACCCTTTCTATCTCCTCATTTGAACCATGCTCTTCGGTCTCTTCAAGATCTCAAGATTCTTGACACTTCCTCATTTTTCCCATGCCTGTTGTGCTCAGTGTTCAGTGACCTGTCTAGCAGAAACTATCATTTCCTTAACCTTTTGCAAAAGAAGATGAGCTAGGCTTGGCTTTGTGGGAGGAAAATCACTAATGAGATCTGAATGAGCCCCTGGTCACGGCACTGCCCCTCTGCCACCTGGCTGGTCATCCATGTGTTGACCTGTTACAGACAACTTTTCTCCATAGAGGCAGTGGCAGTTAGCGATACCTTTTGACCTTCTCACTCCCTTTGCTTCTAAGTTATTCTTCTCCTGTTCTCTTCTGCACTGACCTAGTTTTCCAGTCTCATAGCTTTCTCCTCTTCTTGCATGTAATCCTTATGTTTCAGAATCCTGAGTTCCTCCCTGTGGACTCAAAGGACCACAAGGAGGGAAAAATAAGCAGATAAAGAAATAAAAGAGACAGAAGGGAGCTCCTGGTGTGGAGACCTAATGAGGTCAAAGAGAAGTACAAGCTGGCCAGTGCTTGGAAAGAACATGTTTGATTGAGTGATCTTAAAAGTAAATCAAGGCCGAGGGGTGTAGCTCAGTGGCAGAGTAGGTGCAAGGCCCTGAGTTCAATCTCTACTCTCACCTACAAAAGTAGAGAAATTGCAAGGAGCAGGTGGCTGCATCTGCAATGGAGAAGAAAATCACTGGCTATGAGAAAGTTAAAGGAACTGAGAGACTAAGGCATCTGGGGTATCAACTTTACCAGTTTAAGAACAAAATCTTTGTGAAGTTTTCTGAAGGGTTGGTTGTTGTTTCCCTGATTAGGAACCAAACTGGCCTCTGGCCTCTAAAGATTTCTGAAGCAGGAGAAATAAATAAAGGTAACCACGACTGCCTTCCTTCCCCAATACATAGACACACAAAAGTGCTCATTTTTGTACTTAGATTCATTTGCAAAAGCAAAGGGACTTACAGATACAAAAGGGGTATTAGGTGCACAGAGGATCAAAGTTAGAATTCTGTTTCAAAAGCACAGTTGGGTCCACTTCAGTATTAGGGGATGGGTGTAGATGGCAGAAGATGGCCCAAAGATTTCAGATGAGCCAACAAGACCACCCCTGGGGGCAGGACAGGAGTGGTAAGACGTCCTCATTTTTCTTCCCTTCTTTATGTCTTGACTGAATTTTCTTACTGGCAGCCTGGCTGCCCTTGGTTATGGGATAAGGGTTTTTAGGGGTCTATCTATATTGGGAAGTCTTTTTTACACTGGGACA